ATTTGTGGTTCCAACAGGATGGAACCACTTGTCACACATCCAGAGAAACGATGCAATTGTTGCGGGGCAAGTTTTTTTTAGATTTTTTTTTGGTGGTACTACAGAGCTGAAACAGGAGATTAGACACGAAATAGCCGGCATAGAACCTGAATTGTATCAAAAAGGGATAGGAAATTTCAATAAACGAATTACGTCATGCCACATGGGTCGCGGGGGTCATTTGAATGACATCATCTTTCATACCTAATTGTAATACACTAATCTAAAATGGCAAATAAAAGTGTTTGTATATTTTTATATTCTTCCGAGTTTTTTTATTATTTTAATCTGGAAACCCTTACTGAATCACTCTTTATATTGTGTGAGGGGAGCGGAGCAGGTACAGTGTGTAGTACGAGCCAGTTTCAGTCAAGCTCTGAAGAAGCCAGTAGGATGACTGGCGCAACGTCAGCAAGTTCGACTCAGCAAAAACCGACGCAGGAGGAATCCAGAAGTTTTGTAAAAAGTATTACACTAGCATGTAGAAGTTTCTTTGAAAAATTAACTAGAATGTCGTCTGGAGCTAACTTAATCTCTGTTATTTTTGAATGAGATGACAAGAATTAAACGCAAAACTGCAACTCTTTCCTGTCAATTTCGATAGCTCAACTCATTATTGCGCGACATTTTATTATATCGCATATGCCACGAACTACCCTGTACCAATTTGGGGTTAGGCTCGCGTGCCTTTGTTTTTCCCGTAGGGGTGTGTTTCAGCAACGGGCGTGTTATTGGTGCTATGCGGGATTTTACATGAGCTTTCGGACTTTTACATTACGTCGTTGTCGAATACGTCACTTGGTCAAAATTTATCGATCGATCGCGACCGTAATGACGCCGTACGGGAACGCAAATGCCTTCGTGGGCGTTAAATCGTAACAATTTTCGACCGCCATAAAGGAATAAACGCGCGTTTGACGATAAAAAACTCGCGTGATTGTAAATTTTTTACCCGCACCTATCGGCTCGACGCGCGGTAACTCGATAGCGAAACTAAACTCTATTAAACACGTCCGATTGGCCGCGGGAAATCAATGCCGGTCTATGGGGAAATCGAAAAATTGGTTTCATTGCGGCGCGGCGGATGTTTACGTAAACGGATAATATTTCGGTGTAATTTTTAAATGGCTCACGCGATGTTTTCTATATTCAAAGTTTGCAGGGTATACGAGGTTTGTCTCGCGATGAATGAAACATTAGATGTTGTGGGGGAACGGGAAGTAACAATTTATCGAAAATTTGGTTTAGTCAAAACCGATCCTACGATTTATCAACGACAAACTTTCATGGTTGTTTTTCTTTATCTTGTGTAATTGTACTATCCAAATAAAATTCGTAAGAAAAAGAAGACGATGGCGTTTTCAGAGCGTTTGATAACTTTATAACTGAAATTGTGTGAGAGAATAACAGAGGTGAGATGTGTTAATTCTCGGTTATGATATTCGGGCTGAGTAAGAGACATTGCTCTGAAAACTAATAAAATTGGTCAGGGACGATCTTTGGGCTGAATGGTGGTGCAATAATGTATTTAGGTACCGATCGATTCACACTATGGAGCTTAGATAGTTCAGAAAAGATTGAAGAGAGTCTAGGACATGTGGGCAGACAACAAAAACGTCATCTATATATCTTGTCCACCCTTTCAGTTTTAAACGAAATTTATCGATGGTGAGTGTTTTAAAATGCTCCATATAAATATTCGCGATAATAGGGGAAACTCATAGCTGTTCCTGATATTTGTTCGTAAATTAACCCGCTACATGTGAAGTATGTTCCAGATAGACATTTTCCGAATAAAATGAGGTCTACAGGGAGGTTTTTGGATTTTAAGTTTTTTGAGATGATGCTTATTGTTTCAGAGACGAAAACTTTAGTAAAAACCATGCTAGCATCTTCGTCTTAGTACTTAGTAATTTTTAGTTCATGAATAAGATGGAAAGAATTAAACACACAACCTGAACTTTTCCTGTGAAAGGTTTTATACTTGAGGCTGGATATCTTGCTAAAGAGTACGTTGGAGAATCAAATGGTGCTAACAATGGACCGAAGAGGTCCATTTGTTTTGGGAATTTTGGGACACCCGTATGTCTATATCTGGATTAGTGACAGTCTATATTATGGATTCTGGAGGAGATAAAGCCATAACGAAAGATTTACATTTAAGTTCTGTCGAACAATTTGCATCTTCACTTGGAATTCGGTAGAACTCATGATAACAATGGCGTCTCCCCTATGTGCTCTTAAAATTACTGTTACTGACTCACGGTAATTACGGTGATGAAAAATTAGATGTTTTGGGACAACGGGCAGTAGCAATTTATTGAAAATTTGGTTCTAGTCAGAACCGGTCTTATGATTTATCAACGACAAACTATTCAAATAAAATTTGTACTATAAATAAGGCGTATACTTGACATGCGTTAGTTGTTCGCTAATCATCCTGTCGACTCCTTCAGAGCGTCTGATAGGTTGATAACGAAAATTGTTTGAGAGAAGAACAGATGTGAGATGTGTTAATTCCTAATTATGCAATTCGGGCTGAGACAGAGATATTGCTATAAAAACTGATTGCTTACGGGGGATCTTTGCTCTCGATGGCGGTACGACAATGTATTTAGGTATCGATCGATGCATACTATGAAGTTTAGGCAGTTCAGAAACGTTTGAAAAGGTTGCTGGATATATGGCCATACTTTTAGATGAAACTTATCGATGGCTAGTTTTTCAAAATGTTTCATATAAATATTAGCGGTTACAGGGAAAAGTCGGGAACTCCTAGCTGTTCCTGATAATTATTCGTAAATTTGTCCGTCATATGTGAAGTATGTTCCAGTATGTTTTTCGATTAAAATGAGATCTGCAAGCAAGTATTCGAATACTAAGTTGTTTGAGATGATTCTTATTATAGAATTATCGTATGGACTTAACTTTACACTTTTTAGTTTTTGAATCAGATGAAAAGGCTTGAGCACAAAACTTCTTCCTGTGAAAGGTTTTGGACATGGGGCTAGATATTTTGCTAAGGACTACGTTGGTGCTAAGGATGGGTTGATTCGTTTTCAGAATTTTGGGATACCCATAGTGTCTAAGAATTTTAGAGTCTGAGAAGTCTATTTTATAAATTCCTGAGGAGATAAAGCTTTAATGACAGATTTACGTTTACATTCTAACGAACGAGTTGCATCTTTATTGAGGCGATAAGCGCTGTCTGAGAGGATATCTTTAATTTTGACTTGTTAGTCGATAGAATTCATGATAACAGTGGCGTCTCCCCTATGTGCTTTTAAAATTACATCTACTGTATGTACTGTAATTGCGGTGATGAAATATTAGATATTTTGGGAAAACGGGAACTAGCAATATTGAAAATTTGGTTATAGTCAGAACCGGTCTTACGATTTCTCAACGATAAATTTTCACGCCTGTTTTTCTTTTAGATAAATAAGACAAACGTATACTTGACATGCGTCGGTCGTAATGAATCATCCCGTTGGTGGTGTGGATACTGGTGTGCTTTTTGCTCTGCACCTGCTTGTATATTGTGTACTGTACTGTACGACAAAGAGTTCTACGTGCTTCTGCGCAGTTAACGCCTACAAAACTAACCAAAAACGAATTTAGTTTGTAATACATACAAAACATACAAAACAATACAAACAATACAAAAAGTAGATATCGATACCAAGTTTATTTTTTAAAATGGAACGCCATTTTTTAAAATTCATTTTTAAATTCTAAAGTGTAAATTACAAATTTAACCTAAGTAAGTAACCCAAGTAAGTAGCGAGTGCCAGTGAAGATCTAAAATTTTCACAATTACATTTCTGTCAAGAAGAAGCAATAAGTTTGTAATTTGTTTAACGCAAAATATCCGGAGAGACACATTACAAGATCGACAGGAATAAAATTGAGAGAAAATTTATAGAAACGGGGAACGTCAAACAAATTGTGTTGAAAATGCTCACCATTAACTTCTTGACAATTTGTTGCCTTATTTCGTACCTAATTCTAAATTCTAAGTTATCCAGATTTTCTCTTTTTTATAATAATTTTCTGATTTGAAATACTCCCAGAGGAAAAAATCTAGTGGAGTAATATCTGGAGATCTTGCAGGCCAATCTATTGAGCCCCTTCACGCGCTTGTAGAGCGAAGTGGGGCGGAGTGCCATTCTGTTGGAACCAATCTCTCTGACATATCAGGCTGATTTCGTCATATTGATCAAATTGAAATAGAAAATTACAACATAAATATTTCGAAAACGTTCGAAACGTTCGAACCTCAGTGGAATTCGGAAGAATTGTACGTAAAAGAGGAATTACGGTGTATACTGCTCGGGTTAGACCATTCTTTTTATTATTATTAGCATCTTGATTTGTTTTATTTTGTTGATTTCATCTAAATTATTTTTTCTATTAAAATTGACTGTAGCATTAAGTACATAGTGACCTTTAGAGATCCTTGTTATCGGAATACTTGTATTTCTTTAGAAACAATAAATAAAATTTGATTGAATTGAACCATCAATAACAGGATACCAGTCGAGCAAATGCAAATGGCACTTTTTCTACCCCGATCCCCCAACCCTGGTTAAAACTGCAGGAAGTGCGAATGACAATTTGTTTGCACGCCGCCCGCATGACAATGCATATTTGCGTCTCGCGTTGCATGCATTAATTCGGATGTAACTCGCGTCGCTTACGGCGTAATTATTCCAGATTTTTCCATCGAACGGTTCGGCGCGACCTTGGTTTGTTTTCGTCGAAGGGAACGATGAATATTCAAAAACCCGCGCGACACCCACCCGAATAAATTTCCATTAAAGGAGATAAATTAAATTCCTTCACCCGAGACAGACAATACAGTATAGCGAGCTAGAGAGACATTAACATATTTTTCAAATGTTACGGAAACCGCAATCGGTCCATCGAAGGGACCGCCGCTACAAAAAGTTCACGAAAATCAAACTGAAATGACTGCGCCGACTCGAATCCGGGGTTTCTTTCGCCTAGAAACCCGTCGCCATTAAGACTATGTACGCGGCTGCTGGAGGCGCTTCGCTCGCAAGCAGACAGGCCCGTCAAAAGCAACGACTGCAGAAAACCAAACAGCTGAAACAGCAGAAAGTCGCCGAACTATCGTCGAAACCGCCTCAGGCCAAGCAGTTCCACAACTACACCGACGATCCGGCGTCGGTACCCAAATTATCCAAGGTCGAACGCGGTACCCTCCGACCCCCCGCTCAACACGAGAGGCGGCACAGTACCTCTAATTACCTCAAAGAGCCTCATGCGCGCGCGAGACTGCGCGAGAGTCCCTCGATATCGATTCCTATCCAATTACCTCAACCGCTGCTTCGGGAGAACCACGTGTCGACACCGTCGCTCCAAAGTCAGCTGCCGCAGATCTTTATCCCTCCAGATGGCGAAAGTAAACTCGAAAGGAGGTGCAGCTTCGTGCGGCAAGTGGAGGAGATGGGCAGGCAGGAGCAGGACGTGTTGGACCGTTGTAACCACATCTGCAACTTCGAGATTAAGGATAAAACTTGGGAGGAGCAGGAGCGTTTTTATAGGGATTACGAGAAAGACGTGTTCGGCAGCTTAGATTATCCTTTTTCAGAGGTAACCTTTATGTTTGTAGAGGAGTAGTAGCAGTAGTATGATATAATATAAATTAAAACCTTGGTTCACCCGGGTTCCCGTAGTTGATTTCAGTAGGTCAAGGTAAGGACCTGAGAAAGATTTTATTCTATTCTATTATTCTTAATCCACCCGGCGGGAAACAAAAAAAAACAATAAAAAATATAACAAAAAAGCAAACAACAAATCCCTCTCCGCGCAGTGCTACACAGAATAAAGAGATAATTTTCAATGAATTTCTGAAATGTAACTGGTATGAGTATCTTTAAAGAAAAATAACACTAGTGGAAGTTGATGAAATTGTTCAGACTGATTTCAGGAATAAGGAGTATGAGATGCATACTAATCACACGATACATTAATATATATCGAAGAGAGAGAAGGTACTTTCATGAAGACGTTTAAATAAGTTTAAGCTTAAGTATTTTATTTCTTCCGAAATTTTATTGCTACAGGCTGAGTCAACGATAGAGTAAAGTTCATTATCTCATCGGTTCCAATAGTTGCACAATTTAAAATTATTAAAAAGTATACACGGTGGTTCGAACAAGCGTGATGAATAATTTCTTTAAATGGACCAGCATTATTTCAAATTTTGTTTTGAATTTGATTTGGAATTCTTCAACGTTTTAACTAACTAATAATAGACCTGATGTTAATTAATTCAGTTTTTCCAATACTTACCAATACAGTTTTCACACTTACAAAAAATTACGATAACGCAATTATTTGAATTGGGTGCTACAGGGTGTTCAAAATATATTTGCATCACTTTAAATTGAAAAATCTCCATTTAGTATGTTCTGAGATTAAAAAATGAACTTTATTGGAATGGTAGAAAAATCAATTTTGGAGAAAATAAATAATAAAGTAATATATAAAGTAAATAATATAAAATAACTATCTTATTTTTAATTATTATTATGGAGCAATAAATGTCTAAAAATATGCCCTGCGACTTAAATACACATGTTTCGTCTTTTTTTTATTCACGTCTGTAAAATACCTAATTACAAACCGATCTAGCGTGCGGGAAGCGTCATTTTACCACGTCAGTTCCGTTTCCGATGAATCCGAGCCACTTCGGACATTTTCGGGATTTTACAGCACGGATTTGGAAGCAATCGGATGTTTTCGGAGATATTTCCCACGCTTTGAATTTTGACGTTTCTCAATTCTGACAATCATGTCAGTAAATGTATTCGTGTTGTTTTGCGAAAATCAACCCAAGAACTAACGGTCGTAGAAAAAGTATAGTATGCAACACGTTCGGTAAACTTTTTAAGTCACTCGTGAGTCAAATGCCTTTTACCGCACTTGTTGCATAATATAATATTTCCTAAATCTTCTGGCACGTTCCTTAGTATAAACGGTGTTGTTCTCCTGAACGCCTACCAAATTTTATTTTCCATGTCTTCTGGCCTTACAGAGGGATTCACATAAACACGATCTTTTACATATCCTCACAAAAAGAAATCTAGTGGTGTTAAGTCGGATGATCGTGGAGGCTATCCCATGAATCCACCTCTACCCGATCAACTTCCGTCCGTAATTTTTATTTAAAAATTCTCGAACTTCTCGATGTTAATGCGAAGGAGCTTCATCATGCTGAAGCTATATTTGCTGGGTCTAAATGTTGTCAATTTTTTGAAAATATTGAGGTAAATCACTGTGAAAAAAGTTTAAATACGACCGTTAAGTGGTTCACAAAAAAAATGTGGTCCACTTATTTAACAGTAACACACACATAATCAATGGTTTTGTTTTTGTACTCTTGTACTTTTGAACAATAATGTCTCTTATGACGATTAACTGCACCATTGCTGCGAAGCTTCATCGGAAAACATTGTTTGACAAAAAATTTGGATCGACCTCTATTGCTGCATTTATAATGGTGCAGAAGTTTACCCAATGTTCAACATTATACCAAGCTGTTTAAAAGACTTACCCTGCTTGAAGTACCTTATCACCATTCATTATTTCAATACCTGTTCGGTTAAAAATTATAGTGATAGCAGACTGAGCACTTCTGAAGAGTGGAGGACATCGTCCAAAGTTCCTCTAATTCGCAAGTTTCTCAAAACTTCCCCAAACTCCTTCCTTGTTGCTGTTGCATATTGTTCATTTTTCGCTGCTGATATTTTGGTAGGTTAGACTTGAGAAATAGGCAATGAAGTCAAATCGATCAATGTGCTCTTGGTGTATGAAAGGTATGATATTTGTATTTTCTAGTGGTGCGATTAACGAAAGATCGGGATGTATCACATGATCTTTAAAAGAGTTAAATAAAATTTTCAATTCTTTTTCCTGATTGATGGCATTAATCTTTTATATTCACTTTCCGTTTTTTATATTCATTACTACGACTAGCATCAGGTCGTTCCATAAACACTGAAGAGATTGCCTAGTGTGCATACGTCTACTAGGGTACTTCGTCTTGTAAAGTCATACTTCCAACAGTTTTTTTCCACCTCAACCATTACATAAATCTTATCAATTAATTCAGCTTTAGGAGAATCCGGCTCTAATTATGTCACATGTGACATTTAGTAATGCAATCGCAGAACCATGCTCTCCAATCTGATACTTTATTATTTTTATTGTATTAATTGTTTGATGATACTGGCAGTATACTTATGAGTCTCTGGTCACTAACATTTAAGATTTCGTGGTTTATAGGGAATGGAATTAATTACTTTCGACATCTTCTCATTCTCCGGACAGGAATTGTGGGTTCAGAGCTGTCTATTCAAAAAAGTTTTTTGTTTAGATGCTTGAATCATTAAGTTTTTTGTAAAGAATGCAGTAATTCTTTTTCCAAAACTTCTGGATTCCTCCTGCATCGGTTTTTGTTGAGTCAAACTTGCTAATGTTTCGCCAATCATTCTGTTGGCTTCTTCAGAGCTTCACTGAAACTTTTACTCTATACCTGTCTACATATTGTTTGAGAGGGCGGAGCTAAATGAGGGGCATAAACATCGTCTCGGATGACTGATTTCCATATTGGTGACAGGTAGAAACCTGAGTAGCGATGATTGGCGAAACTTAGCAAGTTTGGCTCAACAAAAACCGATGCAGGAGGAAACCAGAAGTTTTGTAAAAAGTACAACAGTAGCCTATGGAAGTTTCTTTGAAAAATACAGGAATTATTCAAATTACTGTTCATATATTAAATTATTAAAATGTTTTTTTTTCACTAATTGGTTTTCGATTTACTTGAATTTGTTGAAAAAATTTTTTGATTTAAAAATGCCTGACTTTCTTTTGTAGATTTCTAAGCAAAAATTCAAAATTTCGAATTAAAACCGATTGTCATCTATTTCACTTAATAGCACCTTTTATAAATTTAACGTATGTTTTTTTATTATTTTAATACGCAATATGCAAATATGAAAGTTTTACCAGTTGAGCAATTCTTCTATAATTCCTTCTGAGAAATTCGGTTTTAGAGCTCAATATAGCACAACAACCTCCATCTTAAAAGTATCCGACCATATAAGCAAATCTAGTGGTCTAGTTCTTCCTGATTATAGCATTTGACACTCTTGATCATAACATTTTGTGTACCAAATTTTAATGCTTTAGGTTGGATTCTTCCGCAGAATTCTTTTTACGAAATTTCTTATATGGTGTGGTTGGAGGGTAGTACTTTGGGACCATTATTGTTCTCGCTTTACACATCTGACTTCCGTCATTATCTTAACTATCTCAGTTCGCATCAATGGGCAGACCACCTTCAACTATATCTCAATTTTGATTCAACTGGGCTCGGCATTGCAGAAGATCAAATGAATCAGGATCTAAACATTGTAGGTGACATCACACTTGCACACAAACTCCACCTTAACAACTCTAAATCTCAGCTCGTTTTGTTTGGTTAGTTTAACAATGATCCTGCTTTGAATAATGGAAGTGTATATCTTAACAAAGTTAAATTGAATTCCTGCAATTTGTGGAAGAAGTTAAACTAAGACTAAGATATAATTATCTGTTTACAAATTTTTAATTTTTTATCTAAAAAATTTCAAAACAGCTGTTTTATTATGGACCGACGATATATCTGTTTCATATTTAAATCCTAATTGAATTAAACTAGAAACTCGATTTCAGCTGCATTTATGTACACTAGTACTAGTCCTTAAAATTATCCTTTCACGACAGCCCTCGTATTTATTTAATAAAATAGTCAGAGGCTCTGACGTTCATCATAAGTCCACGAGTCAAAGGGATTTTCTGACTGTTCCTAGACACAGAACAACCGTGTTCCCCACAGTATTCATCTGCTTTATAAAACTGTATGGTTTTCTGCATAAGTTTCAATGATTTTGGACGCGGCTTCCGTAATATTTCTGTGGTAATGTGTATTTGTTTCATGTCACTAGTAAGATCGTACTCTTATTGCTTTCTTCCGACGTTTATTATCACTTATTTTCTCAATGGCAACGTTATGAATATAATGTTTGTTATTTTGAAAAATTTGTGGTTCGCAATGAGCAACTCGCCATCCCAATTACACATTTTTTATGTTTTGACTGCGGCGCTGCAGAGCTCCCAAAAAAATAAGAACTTACACCACGCGCCGTATTGATCGTAAAAACAATAAGAATATAGTCGGTGCTTTTCTGTTTTTGTTTATTTTTGACAATTTATATTCACTGTTAACTATGGAAGTAGTACTATTTATAAATCTTCTGGATTCCTCCTGGATCATCCTGTTGCCTTCTTCAGAGCTTAACGGAAACTAAATCACATTCTATTCTGTACCTGTTTATATATTATTTGAGGGACCGGATCTAAAGGAGGGGCATGAACATTGTCTCGGATAACTGATTCCCATATTCACGAAAGGTAAAGGCACGAGTTGAGGTTAAAATTGTTTAGTTGCTTAAAGAATCCTATAAATTCTCATTCATACATGCAGGAATTTTAGTTTTATAGAATAAAATTTGATGACATAAAAAACCAATGTCAACACTAATGAA